TCAGACCACTGTCAATAGGAACTTTCCACTTCTGACCAGGAGCAGCCCAGAAGCCTTGCAATTTCAGAGATTCTCTGACCCACTAGTCTGGCCATAACCATTTGACTCTTGTCAAAGTCACTCAAGTCTTAACTGCCCTTTTCTCCCACATCCAACACACTTATACGAGAACTGACTGTTCATTTACCCATTAATATATCTCAGATCTTGACATCTGCTTTTGTTACGAGGTAATCAATGTTACTTTATCTGTGAGGTCAAAATGTTTTGGCTCATCTTTAAATCTGCATACAGTAGTTTCAATATAATTAACTTTAAAGTTTGATTTACCATGAAGTGGCTTGAATATGTTATATAGTAATAAAGGAGAAGAAGGGCTGGAACTGAGGTAGTTGATTTGCTCAAGGGATAAATAAATGAATAAATAAATACAAGGTTGCCTAACGTCCCAAAGTAACATTGATAAGGACAGAATCCTTCCTCCAGCACAGACAGAGTAAGAATATCCACATCAGCCAAATCTCTGCTCTATAACCTACAGTTCTGTCTTGTTGTTTTTTTGTTATCAGTTTAAATACAAGGTTGCCTAACGTCCCAAAGTAACATTGATAAGGACAGAATCCTTCCTCCAGCACAGACAGAGTAAGAATATCCACATCAGCCAAATCTCTGCTCTATAACCTACAGTTCTGTCTTGTTGTTTTTTTGTTATCAGTTTAGAAAAATGGGAGGAACGTCCTGTCCTCAACCAAAGAGTGTGAGAGGTTCCTCAGTTCTCTTGGATGGAACACTGTTTTGTATCCCAGGAGCTCCAGAACTGGTTGGCAGACAGTTTGAGTGTAAACCACCATGTCGAAGGACAGCTTCACCCTCCAGTTCTCTGCATTAGCAGCAGAGTCCCGAACTGTGGTAAACTTCTGCCGGGATGATAGATCACTGCTGCCGCGGGTGTTGTTGATGATCCAGTCTTCCACACTGTGGTCCAGAACCAGACCTAGGAAACTGTACAGCTCTCTGGTCTTCTGGAGAGGAAACCTGGCTAAGTCCTCATACCTGACCAATGATGAGGAAGAGAGAGAGGATCATTCAGTAAGAAAGAACACCAAAAACAAGCTCAGGAGTTGGTCAGTACCTAACCAAACCTCATAAAGGGTTTAGGCAATTAAAACTACATGGTGAAGGGAGCCAACTATGGTAGCCCTTTTTTTTGCCAGGATCATTTTTATAAGTTTTTTTGGTCATCTGTGAAAAAATGTGAATTATTTTTGAAGTGCACCACTACTCAGTCTACAAAAACTAAAAGCATTCATGTTTCCTTCTACGTGATTTTTAGTTTGTATATATGATGTGTGTTAGCAGGTTATGGAACATTGCTATTCTGTTCCTTTTTTTGTTTAGAAATGTGTTTCAATCAGTGAAGGCTTTCTGCTAGAAATGCTTTAGGAAGTCAGATCAGATAGTATAAGGAGCAACAAAGTCCACACAAGCAGCAAACTAGGATGGTAGAGAATGTATGGTGGCCCTGAGAGCTCAACACACTGCAACTTAAGAAAACACATGCAAATAGAACAGAACACAACCTGGCTGGGACACATAGAGAGAGAGGATGATATGTAGCAAAGGGCCATGGGTTGGACTTGAACCCGGGCTGCGGTTAGGACTACACCTTTTAGGACTACAGGTGACCCCCCCCCACTTGTCTCAGCTGGAAACACTTCTGTTAGGGCTAATCCACATATACAGTATATCTGAGGGTAAGGAGAAAAATATGGAGTCAAAACTGCCTGTCAACCAGTCATCCCTCTGACAGAAAAACAGCCCTGCTGGTGAAGGTGACTGGACTGGGGTAGTTCAGCACAGACTGTATGTCCAAATATTATCCATGTCCTTCTCACCTGAGCAGCTTGTACCGCCCTCTAAGCCAGGCGGGTCTGGCCAGGCCGACAGACACAGACCTGAGAAAGTCCTCACATACTGTGTTAATCTGTCCCAGGTCCAGGTTGTGGGGTCGATGCCCAGTCGCTCTCCACAGACGCCACAGCCGGTAAGTGTCTCGAAATGTCTCAATACGAGATGCCAGGATACCGCGTGGATCTCGAACAAGCTGGACCACCTGAAGATGATGAATAACGATGAAGCATTCACCCGGAACACACTGTGGTTACAGTAGCAGCACACATGTCTCTGAATGTCTTCCACACACCAGCATATGATTAAAGGTCTGTGTGAGCTTCCTTTACTGCCGGTGACAGCAGAGGATTATTGATAGCAGTAATACCTGTACCAGCCTGCTGTAGTACTGCAGTGGTGGCTGGTGGAAGTAGCAGGAAGAGTAAAATTAAACTAGAAAATTCCTGGAGAAATTTTGAATGTGCCTGCTGCTCGATGCATGTACCTCACTCTTCAGGTTTCAATCTGCATAAAGGACGTTACTTTCAGTTTCATTCATGGCGTAGAGACTTATCCTGACACTGACCTCAGTCCCTGCAGGTATCCATCAAAAAGCCTTTAGATTCTGTCACGACTGACCAAAATAACCTCACACTGATGGTTTCAAACTCAAATTTGTTCAACAACCATAGCAAGACACGTATACACACATGTACATGCCCTTACATTGGTTGAGCTGCAATAAAATGGTGTTTGTGTGTTTATGTCAATATGTGTGTGTGTGTGTTGGGTCTTAGCTCTGCCTCATGAGCTGGACACCATAAATGTTGGATCTTCGGTTGTCTATTAATTTAAATCATAAATTAAGAAAATATTAACATTAAATAATAACTTTAAAATTAATTAAAGTCCTCGGGCGCACCAGCCTAAACTAATAGGCAAAATAGCCATTATTGTTTGAGTCTCAATTTATTTCTATTAGTCTGGAACTCTGATTAATAATTAGAGTCCCCAGGACCCACAGGTGGTGATTTGAGTGGGTCCCTGGGAAACTCAATGGGTCCCAAATAAATTTTTTTTATTTCTTATATTCTTTTATTTCTTAAATTGTAGTGTTAAACTCCTTTGATGGTGGTATGATATGGTTATAATTAACGGATATATTCATGTATGTTCAAAATGTATCTGAAATTAAACAAATAAGATTCCAAATCTGAAAAGTTTATTGCAAAACAACTGTCACAGCGGCATGACATACAAAATTCAAATAAAATAGCCTTTTATTAGCAACATAAATAGCACCAAAATAAATTACTAAAATTCAAATGAAAACAAAATGTGTCTGTAGTACCAAAATAAATTATCAATAAAAGTGCTGATTTTAACACATAAACAAAACATTCTCATCACCATGACAGAGTCAACAAATAAATTGTCACCAAAATAAGACCAAAATCTTTTTGTCTGAACATCAACTAAATCAAATGAACTGAGTCAATCACTGTGAAACTTTTAGCAAATGAAACTTAACTAACACAGTGGAAAGTCTGTTAAAGTATTTTTCATCACCGCCACCGGAGTATGTTTTATTTATTTCATTACAGCACGTCCCCTAGACGTTAAGACATTGTCGACATGAGTGAACACAGCATCGAGCAGTGGAAACATGAGTTTATTTACTACTATGAAGTTCGTATCTAATTGTTGAAATGAAATCCGCGGTGACTGGCTAATTGTTGTGGTAGTGGCTAAACTAGCATGTCGCGATACTGTGCACAGAGGAACACGTCTGCGCGGAGTAGATGCGCAGAGGGTTGAAACAGCGCTTGCCTGGTCTGCTGACAGCGAAGTTACTTTTGCTAGTTACTGTGATTTTAAACACGAGTTGTTGTTCACAATGTATCGTTTTTCATGGGAAAAATGAGCTGCGTCCCTGGGACGCATGGATAGTGAGTTTGCTGCGTCCTTTCAGATTTCAATGCGTCAGGGACGCAGGACGCGTACCTTGCAACATCACTGAATAAATATAACCAAATCATCATATCAACAGTAAGTTAAAGTTGAAGGATTGGAATTCGAGTAGAGGATGGCAATGTTCACACTTATGCATTAAACACACCAGTATATACTTAAAGACATTTATTTATAATGGAAGAGAGTAAAAACACATTGTCTAATCTAGTATATACAGGTGTGTGTGTGTGTGTGTGTGTGTGTGTGTGTGTGTGTGTGTGTGTGTGTGTGTGTGTGTGTGTATGGGGGGGGTGTCTGTGGGGACACAGACAAAGGCAAGATTCAAAGTGGTCACTGTGACCACATGACAAAGAAACTATTCAAAATAGTCTATGAAGGTTGGAAATTCCGGGATTTAAAAAAGAGTTTGTCTGACTTTTTTTNCAATTTTGGTGCTTGTATCCACATTTGAAAGATTATTGCACGTTTCTCCTGCACTAGTAACCCTTCTCTTGGTTTGGATGAGACACGCTAACCTTTGTGGTGCATCAGTTTGTAGTTTGTGCCTCCTTGTATCATCTTCTTCCTCAGACCACTGTCAATAGGAACTTTCCACTTCTGACCAGGAGCAGCCCAGAAGCCTTGCAATTTCAGAGATTCTCTGACCCACTAGTCTGGCCATAACCATTTGACTCTTGTCAAAGTCACTCAAGTCTTAACTGCCCTTTTCTCCCACATCCAACACACTTATACGAGAACTGACTGTTCATTTACCCATTAATATATCTCAGATCTTGACATCTGCTTTTGTTACGAGGTAATCAATGTTACTTTATCTGTGAGGTCAAAATGTTTTGGCTCATCTTTAAATCTGCATACAGTAGTTTCAATATAATTAACTTTAAAGTTTGATTTACCATGAAGTGGCTTGAATATGTTATATAGTAATAAAGGAGAAGAAGGGCTGGAACTGAGGTAGTTGATTTGCTCAAGGGATAAATAAATGAATAAATAAATACAAGGTTGCCTAACGTCCCAAAGTAACATTGATAAGGACAGAATCCTTCCTCCAGCACAGACAGAGTAAGAATATCCACATCAGCCAAATCTCTGCTCTATAACCTACAGTTCTGTCTTGTTGTTTTTTTGTTATCAGTTTAGAAAAATGGGAGGAACGTCCTGTCCTCAACCAAAGAGTGTGAGAGGTTCCTCAGTTCTCTTGGATGGAACACTGTTTTGTATCCCAGGAGCTCCAGAACTGGTTGGCAGACAGTTTGAGTGTAAACCACCATGTCGAAGGACAGCTTCACCCTCCAGTTCTCTGCATTAGCAGCAGAGTCCCGAACTGTGGTAAACTTCTGCCGGGATGATAGATCACTGCTGCCGCGGGTGTTGTTGATGATCCAGTCTTCCACACTGTGGTCCAGAACCAGACCTAGGAAACTGTACAGCTCTCTGGTCTTCTGGAGAGGAAACCTGGCTAAGTCCTCATACCTGACCAATGATGAGGAAGAGAGAGAGGATCATTCAGTAAGAAAGAACACCAAAAACAAGCTCAGGAGTTGGTCAGTACCTAACCAAACCTCATAAAGGGTTTAGGCAATTAAAACTACATGGTGAAGGGAGCCAACTATGGTAGCCCTTTTTTTTGCCAGGATCATTTTTATAAGTTTTTTTGGTCATCTGTGAAAAAATGTGAATTATTTTTGAAGTGCACCACTACTCAGTCTACAAAAACTAAAAGCATTCATGTTTCCTTCTACGTGATTTTTAGTTTGTATATATGATGTGTGTTAGCAGGTTATGGAACATTGCTATTCTGTTCCTTTTTTTGTTTAGAAATGTGTTTCAATCAGTGAAGGCTTTCTGCTAGAAATGCTTTAGGAAGTCAGATCAGATAGTATAAGGAGCAACAAAGTCCACACAAGCAGCAAACTAGGATGGTAGAGAATGTATGGTGGCCCTGAGAGCTCAACACACTGCAACTTAAGAAAACACATGCAAATAGAACAGAACACAACCTGGCTGGGACACATAGAGAGAGAGGATGATATGTAGCAAAGGGCCATGGGTTGGACTTGAACCCGGGCTGCGGTTAGGACTACACCTTTTAGGACTACAGGTGACCCCCCCCCACTTGTCTCAGCTGGAAACACTTCTGTTAGGGCTAATCCACATATACAGTATATCTGAGGGTAAGGAGAAAAATATGGAGTCAAAACTGCCTGTCAACCAGTCATCCCTCTGACAGAAAAACAGCCCTGCTGGTGAAGGTGACTGGACTGGGGTAGTTCAGCACAGACTGTATGTCCAAATATTATCCATGTCCTTCTCACCTGAGCAGCTTGTACCGCCCTCTAAGCCAGGCGGGTCTGGCCAGGCCGACAGACACAGACCTGAGAAAGTCCTCACATACTGTGTTAATCTGTCCCAGGTCCAGGTTGTGGGGTCGATGCCCAGTCGCTCTCCACAGACGCCACAGCCGGTAAGTGTCTCGAAATGTCTCAATACGAGATGCCAGGATACCGCGTGGATCTCGAACAAGCTGGACCACCTGAAGATGATGAATAACGATGAAGCATTCACCCGGAACACACTGTGGTTACAGTAGCAGCACACATGTCTCTGAATGTCTTCCACACACCAGCATATGATTAAAGGTCTGTGTGAGCTTCCTTTACTGCC